GTAATTCTAAATATATAAAATTTATTCACTAATAATATGCTAAATATTAAAAAAATTAAATTACAAAAAACTTGAATGAAACACTATTAACTAAATCAGACACATAAAAATCCAATAGGGTAGCTTAAGTGGCAAATGAGCTCTCTTTGTGGGGGTGAATTTTGGGATAATCCGGGTTCGATTCCCACAAGTGACGATTCCCTTTGGACCAGCTTCTGTGCCTCTCGAAGCGAACCGGATGGACCTGGACTGTTAAACGGACAGAGAAAGACCGGACCACAATGTGTGGCTAAAATATTACTCATCACGTGGTATGATATTGCACAAATTTTTCATGCGTGCTTTTACCCTGTTTAAATTTGAATCTTTATGATGTGGTAGATTGATATTGGTTCTGATTTTTGAGGGACTCATCTCATTTTTTTTTCTTTCCATTTCTGGACTCTTACAATTACTTCAAATTAGTTGAAATATCTATTGTTTGGTAACATAGTTATCTTATTAGCTAATGTTGACTTATTCGACCACTATTAGATGTTTTACTTGGTTAAACAGCAAATATAAGTGTTTGATTAATTAGTTTTTTGTAACAACTTATTGCTCTAATACACTAAAATTCAAAAAGGTGTTCAAATCATTTTTTTCCAATCAACTTTTTGAGAATGTCATTTTGCATGTAATCAGCTATTAGCTAACAGCTAATTTACCAAACATATTTCTACAATCAACTAGTCAAACTCACTAACCTAATCAGCTAACAACTATTTACCAAACATCCCTTATATTTTAACTAAAAAAATATTTTACACAAGACTTATTCCTATATATTTCTAATTTCTTATCAGAATTTACTCCATAGTTGGTATAACCATGCCACGGTGAGAATGTCGAACGTCGAGATGATAACGAGATCAATCATTATTCCATGAACCATGATCCACACATTTGTGTGAACAATAAATAAAAAATACATTTTTAATATATACTAAAAGTACATTATTTGTATACATAAAGTATATTATTTGAAAGTATATATATATATTTTTATATATTATCAAATAATGTACATTCAGTACATAAATAATGTACTTTTAGCATATTAAAAATGTATATTATATGCATAGTTTACACAACTATGTAGACCATGGTTCACACAAGAACTAATTTCACTTTTGGTCCCACGACTTTAGAGGTTCTATCATTTTTGGTGCACAACTTTAAATTTTTTCAATTTTGGTGTCTAACTTTGTTATTTTTATCAATTTTGGTCCTTTCGACCAAATTGGCTGCGAAATATTGCCGGATTTTACATTTTAGGGGCAAAATCGTCATCCCAAGGAAAGATATTCAATATCTAAACAAAAGAAAAATCATGTTAAGAGAAATATAAGAGTTTGGCAATCGTCGATGCTATAAATCTCATAGATCTGTGTCTAGTTTCCGTCCGTCTTCTCAATTATTCTCATCGATCAAACACCTATAGATATGATTTTAGAGTGATTTTGTTTAGATATTGAAGATGTTTCCTTGGGATGACGATTTTACCCCTAAAAATATATAATCCGGCAATATTTCGTCGTCAATTTGGTTGAAAGGACCAAAATTGATAAAAACAACAAAGTTAGGCACCAAAATTGAAAACTTTTAAAGTTGTGCACCAAAAGTGATAGATCCTCTAAAGTCGTGGGACCAAAAGTGAAATTAATTCGTTCACACAATAACTTTCCTAAAGGGATAAGGTAATTCAACTATTGCAGGGTTCACTTTTTTTTTTTGGAAATAAGTGTGGTTCAACATTAATTAGGATTTGTTTGGTAGGGAAAGAAACAAACGCCATAAGCCCATGGGGGGGGGGGGGGGGGGGGGGGGGACTAGGGAGGACCGTGGAGCATTTAAAGCTTAAGAGGGGTGGGGTGAGTCAGTCTTGTCTATATTTCGCCTAACTATAAATTGTACTTCATATATATTAAAGAAGCTTCAAGTATTCTCAATGATATCTTAGCTTTCAATTTGAAAAACAATTTACGAATTAGTTTAAAAAAAAAAAAGAATGAAAAAAGGAACTAATTCGTGAACTATTTTATAAATTGAAAGTTAAGATGGGGAGAACATGAGATACATTATGTCTCTATGAACAGGAAATTTGATATAATTAATTTCTCTTAATGGTGATAATTTCTTTTTGACAACTTTATGCATTATGGCTGCGTATTCTGATCTATACCTTTAAAAAAAAAAAATTATCCGAAAAAAAAGAAGATTTTTTATGATTAGCAAACGCATTCACGTGAAGTATATATAGTAATGTTTTGCGACAACAATAAATAAATTTGAAATCATTGAGGGACATTTTTCTTGGAAGCTAGTTTGCAGCTGATCACCAGGACAACGATTGTGAATTAGCTTTCGTACCATGTTGGCAATGGCCAACACCTCATCAATGAGAGGTTGCTTTTATATCACATTTGATTTTGCAGAATTGTTTGAAAACTAAATACTCCGTATAATTTTTCTTTTTTTTGGAAAAAACGAAAGTTTCTACCGTACGTATTTAAAAGTGTCTATTTTTAAAATATGATGTGACTTACTATACATACATACATACATACATACATACATACATACATACATACATACATACATACATACATATATATATATATATATATATATATATATATATATATATATATATATATATATATATATATATATATATATATATATATAATTAAGTTCCAGTGCGGGTAAGTATCTCCCGTGCGGTTGTGCGGGTGATTAATATGCATGAGTTTTGTACTTAAAGATGCGTGAGTCTTGTGCTTAAGGTGCGTGAGGTTTGTGCTTAATGTGCGTGAGTGTGTACTGAGTTTTATGCTTAATGTGCGTGAGTTTTGTACTTAAGGTGCATGAGTCTTGTACTTAAGGTGTGTGAGTTTTGTGCTTAATGTGAGTGTGTACTTAATGTGAGTTGTTGTTGAAACTTTAAGGTGCATGAGTGTTGTGTTTAATGTGCGTGAGTTTTGTGCTTAAGGTGCGTGAGTCTTGTGCTTAAGATGCGTGAGTTTTGTGCTTAACGTGCGTGAGTTTGTGGTTAATGTGAGTAGTTGTGGAAACTTAAAAGGTGCTAGAGTTCTGTGCTTAAGGTGCGTGAGGCTTGTGCTTAACATGTGTGAGACTTGTGCTTGACGTGCGTGGGATTGTGTTCTTAAGGTGTTTTGTTTGTGTGCTTAATGTGCGTGTATTTTGTACTTTAAGTGCGTCAGATTAATACTTAACGTGCGTCCACCCGCACAGCCGCACGAGAAGGCCGGCCTACCCGCACTTGATCCCTATATATATATATATATATATATATATATATATATATATATATATATATCAACAAAACACTAGCAACTACTAAAATCGGAAATAAGTCACCCCAAAAACATATTCAGAATAGGTCATGTGTTCAAATCTACTGAAAACATGCTGGGAAATATAATTGAGACTGAAAGGTGGTGGGGGATTGTTGGGCAAAGGCTTAAAGAGTCGCATTCAATATCTTGCCAGCGAAACATGGTGCTGATGTTATGCAAGTATAATGAAATAAAGTTGCATCTACTATAACACAACTTTTGTCATAGTAGTAAACATTTTATCCTAACAATTTATAAGCTTTTCTTTTAATTTATAAATATGACCAAATTAAAGAGATCAAGCTTAACTTCGTTTATTTCAAATCTCCCGTGTTTCTTTCTCCCATCTTCTCTTGAATCTCTTCTCCATACCATTTCCTCAGGTTTTTGTTTGTTTGTTTGTTTGTTTTTTTAATTTTTTTTTTTTTCAAAATGTATAGTAAATTTTTATTTATAATTAATATTTTTAAATTTTATTTTCTCTAAAAAATAGAAAAGTTTTTCGAAAATGCACTCATATAACATCATTAACGTTTCATTATTAATCAATAATTTATTTTAAAATCAGGTTAACCCCAATGACATTTTTGTGAATTTATATTTTTTATAACAAAATATTGAGTGTTGAACTTAAAAACCTGTTATTTATTGATTTGAGATCTGCTAAAACCATGCATGTAAGCATACTTATTGTTTTAAAACCAAATAAGCGTACTTATTAACAACTGGCTACATTTTAATTTCATATTCAACCACGTGAAAGTTCACTTAATAATCATACATCACTAAATAAATATTTAAAGATAATTTTAAAAAAGAAAAATGTCATCTCACCCAAAATAGTATTAACACTAGTTGATTAGGTTACTGACTTTGACTAATTGATGACAGTAACTGATTGTAGAAAGATATTTGGTAAATTAGCTGTTAGCTGATAGCTTATTACATGTAAAATGATGACTTTCTCAAAAAGTTGATCGAAAAAGCTACTTTGCTTTTTGAGTTTTAGTGTTTTGAAGGAATAAGCTGTAACAAAAAGTTAATCAAACATTTATAGTGATTTTTTAACAAGTCAAACAACTAATAGTGATCAAATAAGTCAAAATTGACTGATAAGGTAACTATGTTACCAAACAGGGGAATTACAATTGTCTACTCTACTTTTTTTATTTGAGGAGAGAAATTAAACCCATTGTCACTACTGGAAATTATGGAATTTCCGACTACCTGAAAGTGATCTTAAATCAAGTTGATACCAAAAAGTGGTCGGAAAGATTTTTCCGGATATCAAAAGTGATCGGAACAAGGTTTTTGACCTATTTAAGATCACTTTCAGGTGGTCGTAAATTTTATAATTTCCGGTAGTGTGTAATTATAGGGTGTGCACCTCGTAAACCCCACTCTTATATAGTAGTAATGTAGTATGCAAATTACATATGATAAGTAGAATACAATAAGAACACCTTGTATCACAAACTCAACCAAGAAAATGTCGTAGACAACGTAACGATTGTCTAGCTTCATTTTTATTGCAAACTCAATGGCGTAAAAGTTCACATAATAATAATAATAAATTACAACTTTTTAATATTTGAATTATAAAAAAATAACACTTTTTATTCTTAAATTATACCGTCCTAACTTTTTTATCCATCAATTGTTTGCAAAGTGGCATTTAAAAACCAAATTCTAATAGAACTTAGTTACGAAAATAGCCACTTTGTAGATAATTGAGCGGAAAAAGTGACGATGTAATTAATAATGTGCTACTCCTCTATAATTCAAGAGGAAAAATATCATTTTTCCCCTAAATATTTAAAGTTAAATTTAAGAAACTAAAAGACTTTAGCTAAGGGACCTAGGCTTAGCTCAAAAGGTCCAAAAGGTCCGAATCTATGTGAAAATCACACCATTCGATTTGTCCTTCCTGCATGCACGTCATTCCGTCACCGTCGAATTCCATGTCTAAGAGAAAATCATCCAACCACGGCGCTAAGTTGTCTGAGGTTTCTGCTTCTTCCGGCGGATCTATAATTGAGTTGTTTGGATCTACGTTTTCCATTAGCCGCGGCACCGACGTTGATTCCGCCGCCTCCGGTGGCGGCGGCGGCGGCGGCGGCATATTATGTCCTTGGAGTTGAACTACTTCTTCACTGGTAACAATGGTAGTTTTTCCGGTCATCGGCAACGTTCGAGATGAGGAGGTCACCACGAATCTCCGAGGTTGTGGTCTAATGACGACGGTTTTTTCCGTGGTTTTCGGAGCTTTGTCCTTCCATTTTTCTTGCCCAGAAGAAGGTGTAGCAATTGTCTTCTTCTGGAGGCGCGTGTTCCAGAGATTCTTCACGTCGTTAGCTGTTCTTCCCGGAATTCTACCGGCGATAAGCGACCACCTACATACAAAGCTAACATACATACTTAAAAAAGAAAAAGAAAATATTTACATTTTTGGTCATCTTGTTATAGGCCGATAAGACTTAATTTATGAGTTATATGGGTGATCATTTTTAACCATGTGCATGTGTCGATTTTAGTCTTGAAAGATCAATACAAACACTTTATTAAATGACATATAGTGGTAGCAGAAATTGTCTTCAAAGAACTAAAATCACTACTTCACGCGTAACTTAGTAATTAAAGATGGTCACATATATAACTCAATGATCAAATCTGCATCATTGGTATAACTTTTGGACCAAAAATATAATTTTTTTCTAAAGAAAAATAAAAGTACCCATTTAACTTCTACATGAAAACATTATGTATTTCCTCTTAATTAAAAATTTATTTTCTTTTAAATAAAGAATTAAAAGTGGATAAATTAGTCATTCTCATTTGTAATGTAGTCCATAAATAATATAGCAAAATTGACTTAATTTAGTTAAAAAAGATACCTAATTTGCTTGCCCACAAGACACCTAATTTGCTAACTTTATAATATATGTTTAATTTAATATTGAAATTATACATTTTTTTAAGTGATAAGATAAACTCTCACTCTACTCAAAGATGTACAATGAGTACTAGCCTGCAAACCAAAAAAATAAACTGCACTTACCTATTGCCTAAGAGTTTATGTAGACGCATGATGAGATCAATTTCATCCAAATTGAAATCGCCTCTCTTTATATCAGGACGAAGATAATTCAACCATCTTAATCTGCAACTTTTCCTGCACCTATTCAGGCCTTTTGAAAATAAAGAGATGCATTATATTTATGAATTACTTGTGGGTAAACTTTTATACATTATTATAAAGATAACAATACCATACATACAAAAATTATTCAGCACTTTTTACCTCCGTGTCATCATGTAAAAAAAAAAAAAAAAAAACCACTTTATTTTCTTTACATTGTTTCCATGGACTCATATGACCAAAATACTTCAATTCAACTTTTCATACACTTAAAATTTGTTCTATATACATACATATTCATGGTTGAATCCCTAACCTGAAGGGAACTCAACTAAACACAGAGACTAGACCACTGTCGTTAGTGAGACTCGATCTCGAGTCATTATTCTTAAACTTCACCTCTATGACCAACTAAGTTGCAGGCATATATATATATATATATATATATATATATTCATGCATGAAGTGATGGAAGTGTGTAATTGATATACATTACCACTTACCAGCTCTAACGGGAACTAGATGCCATTTTCCTTCACCGTATTTGTGAATGCACTTCCTCAACAGATTATCTTCCTGTTCCGTCCAGGCCCCCTTTTTCATCACTCCCGACGGCGGCTCTGAAGACGAATCAGCCATGGAAACTGGCAAGGCCAGCTTGCCTAGCTTAGCTAGCTACTATACCAAACCTTAGCCTGATAACTGATAAGGTGGCAGAGCTGCGTGCGTGCTAGATAGCTGCAGGATTGATGGGGCTGTCTTATTCTATATATTAATTTCCCACTTGGTCTCCCTATGGGAAAACTTTATCATAACAAATTATAATGTGGACATAAGTATACAAAAATAATACTCCTTCCATCCCATTGAGTTAATTTTACTTTTAGTTCTATGACTATTGAAGCCTTGTTAATTTCAATCAATGACTTTTAAAACTGTCAATTTAATGTCTTAACTATTCAACTTTTATCCATTTTGGCCACTCCAACCAAAACTCACCGAAAAATATTACTAGGTAAAATAAAGAAGGTATTTTAGTCTTTTTACTTCCATTTCCTTTCTTCTTTAAAATAGCCTCATTATTTTATCCATTAATATTTTTCGATGAGTCGTGGCCAGCAATTTAGCCGGAGTGATCAAAATTGATAAAAATTTAATAGTTAAGGTACTAAACTGACAGTTTCAAAAGTCGTGGATTGAAATTAACAAGACTCAATAGTCATTGGACGAAAAGTGAAATTAACTTCATCCCATTCTATGGCTGGTTCGGTTACAAAGATTTGACTGAAAAATTATTTTTAATTCAATAATTCATAATACTAAGTTTAGTATTAGACTATTAGTATATATATATATATATATATATATATATATATATATATATATATATATATATAATATAAGTCCAAAATATATAATGAAGTCCAAATTCACCAAATAAAAATAAATAAATCTAAGTAATTAATTATGTAGTTTTTTTTTTTTTTTTTTTTTTTTTTTGAAATCAACCATAACCCATTTATTAACAGATGAATAAGATAATAGAGTCAGGAGGGATCGAGCCTCAATACATAGTTTGATCCTGATCGTAAGCTAATAAAGCTAGAGTATGAGCATGTAAATTAAGTGTTCTAGTAATAAAACTCATAGAGCAATAAGTAAATAAAGACATAGCTATCCTACATTGGTCCACAACGACCCCAACGTAGGACAAAATAGCCGTAGATTTCGAGCATATCGCATTCTTTAGCACCAAGCAGTCTGTTAGGAGATCCACCTCTACCACGTTTCGTTCCTTATGCCAAGATAAGACTTCTTTACAAACTAGCGCCTCCGTCATAAGTGGTGAGAAACAGCCCGAAGCTTGCCGTTCGTCGCGACCTTGAACGAGCCATCGTGGGCGAGTAACACAGCTCCGTAATTAATTATGTAGTTATTTTGTTATTTACTTACACTTTTAGGATGTACATTTGCTAATTCAAAAGATTAATTTTAAAATTGGAAAAACTAATGTAAATATTAGTTCTTTAATTCGTGATTTTGGAATATTAAAAAAAAAATCAGTTAATTAATTTGATAAAAGAGTGACAAATAATATTATTATTGTTTATAATTTGTGTAATGCAAAAATTTATAAAGTGTCATTTTGACATGGATCTCAATCGTTACATAAAGTATCATTAAAAATTATTATCTACAATACATAGTTTAATTATGTATGTTATATATAATGATATTATGCGTGTATAATCGGAATTGATGTTTATTAACATTGTAAATTTTTTGCTATGATTCTTGTTGAGCATATAATATATATAAACATAAATGTGCTATCCAACTATCAGCATAGACTTTTAGTTGAGATGGAGTACATGCTTTAATTTGGTATCAGAGCCATGCCAAAGGCCCATAGGTTTGAATCTTCGCGTCTTACTCGATAAAAAAAAAAAAGACTATGGTCCACGTGTTGCTTGGAGCCCATCAAAAGTAATTGGCCCACACACGTGGGGGGCGTGTTGAGCATATAATATATATAAACATAAATGTGCAATCCAACTCCAACTATCAGCTTAGGCTTTTAGTTGAGATGATGGAGCACATGCTTCAATTATTCTGACCCTCATGACATGAATTTTCTGGCTCCACCCATGCATATAAATATTACAAAATCTATAATAATAAGATCGAGCCTCAGTGGAGACGTTGTTGACTCTGTGTGCTTCATTAGGTTGAGAAAGTATGTTTGAACAGACACTACAATGTAATAGAGTAAGTAGCATTCAAAAAATAATAATAATATTTTATTTATTTTAAATTAGTATTATTATTATTTTTTTTTTGTAATAACTATTTTAATTTTTTTTATCATAAGTAACAAGTAATTATCCATTCAATATGTTTGTTGTTATACAATGGAGCATGGTCCACACACCGATGTGTGGACCATGATCGTTGAATGAAACTGTAGTAGAATTAAAATTAAAATAATAATTTAGTGTTACTAAAATGAAACTAGTGTGTGCGAAAAATGAAATTAAAAAACAGAGTACATTATTGTCAAATGAATCTGTAGTATAATTAAAATGATATTTTAGTATTGTTGTAGTAAAACTAGTTTTCGTGAAAAATGAAACTAAAATCCAGAGTCATACAATAACATATATTGTCAAATAACCTGAAGTGCAATTAAATTAATATCTCAACATTATTATAATTAAACTAGTGTGTGTACAGCATGAAACAAAAAAATAGAACTCAAGCAATAATGCATATTATCAAATAAATCTATAGTAGAATTAAAATGATTCTTTAGTATTGATATAATGAAACTAGTGTGAAGGGAAAATGAAACTAAAAAACATAACAATATTGTCAAATGAAACTGAAGTATAATTAAAATGATACATATTTTATGGTCTACGCTATTACATAAATCATGGTCCACAATAAAATTTTCTTTAAATTTGTCTTATAAATTAAGACCTGTGAAACGGTCTTACGCAAATGATATTCATTGTTGAGTGTTTTATGTTAATGGAAAGCAAAATGTAATACTCCGTAAATTCATTATCTGATGATTCTGAACAATAATAAACAAACACCCAAATAAACTATTTGTTTGATGGGCCATTTAAGTATTCAACCATTCATTGGTCTTTTACAGACAAATTTCTTTTATGTGTCAGTTGTGGCAAATTATTGCATGGCTCATGCTCCACACAATTGTGTGGATTATGAATATCAGGTATATTTTTAATATATTAAAAATACATTATTTTTGTATTAAAGGTAAATTATTTTTGTATTGAAGGTACATTATATAAATAATGTATCTTTAGTATATTAAAAATATATTTTTAAAAATGTATCTTATGTATATAAATAATATATTTTAGTATATTGAAATTATACTTTTTATTTATAGTTCACACAATTGTGTGGACTATGATCAATGCAATAATGATTGGTCAGTTGTCTTAATAAAGGCAGCATTGGGCAAGTTTAATTTCTTTTTGGGCCTTGTGCTTGCTATAGTCTCATTAGTTATTAGTATGCTATGTGAGACAAGTTATGATCCACACACTTCTATTGAACAAATTATGCTGTGGACTACACGAATCCAAAACGATGTCATTTTTAGGGAAAACGTGATATTTTTGTTTTAAAAAAAATTTGATTTTGTCTCGCCGTTAACGGCGTTATTCGTTTATGGAGTTATGAATGTACAGGTATGGAATTATGAATGTACAATTATGGATTTATGAATGTACAGTTATGGAATTATGAATGTAAGTTATGGAATTATGAACACAGAGCTCTGACGTTATGAACTTACAATTATGAACATAGTGATAAAATTATGAACATAGAGCTCTAAAATTGCGAACATAGAACTTCGAAAATTATAAATTTACAGTTATTGAATTATGAATGTACAGTTACGGAATTATGAATGTACAGTTATGGAAGTATGAATGTACAGTTATGCAATTATGAATATACAATTATGGAATTATGAACATAGAGCTCTGACATCATGAACTTACAATTATGAACATATAGTAATAAAATTATGAACATATGCTCCTATAACAAAGCAGTCTGAAATTTAAAAAAAAAAAATGGTGGAAGATAACGGTGCCACTAACGGCACCGTTACCGTGTCCACACTGCACGGGTCCATAGCATAACGATTGCTTCTATTGCTCACGGTCTAAAATGATGACGTTATTTTGATGTTTAAAAAAGTTTTTTATTTTACGCATTTATTAGAATGCTGAATATTTTACAGTAAAATAATATATTTTATAAGTTAGAATAATATACTTTATGTATTAGAATAATAAATTTATTTAGAATAATATAATGTATTTTATGAGTTAGAATAATGTACTTTATGTATTAGAATAATATATTTTATGAGTTAGAATAACGTATTTTATATGTTTTTAGATCATGATTCACACGGCTGTGTGGACCACATTCCATGCAATAATAGTTGGCTATATGGGGTGAATCTCATGCCTCAAAAGACTTGTTATTCATTGGACCGAGGAAATTTCAATTTTGGTCCTATGACTATAGAGGTTTTGTTAATTTCAGTTCCTGACTTTTAAAAGTGTCAATTTAGTACCTTAACTCAACAATTTTTGTCAATTTTGATCACTCCGGCCAAATTTCACCGGAAAAAATTAATAGTTAAAATAAAGAGAATATTTTGGTCATTTCATGTCTCTTTTCTTCTTCCCAGGCAAGTTCATCCCTTTCTCTCCCATTTTCGGCGAATGCAATGAACTCCAGCAATTTCCCCTATAGTCGAAGGCTGCGTTGTGAACTAAGCTGGGTCGATCGGCGACCAGCGGAGCAGCAGACACAGAACCGGCGGCGGCGGTCGACGAGGCCGCGGTAGTTTACCTTCCCCCAGACGTTCATTATCTTAAGAAGAAAGTCACAGACATCACCTTCAACTCCGTCGCCGTCATCAGAAACGGGAGAGAAAGGGATGGACTCGCTGGGGAAGAAGAAAAGACACGTGAAATGACCAAAATACCCTCATTATTTTAACTATTAAAATTTTCCGGCAAAATTTGGCCGGTAATTTGGTCAGAGTGACCAAAATTGACAAAAATTACATAGTTAAGGTACTAAATTGACACTTTTGAAGATCAGAAACTGAAATTAACAATATCCCTATAGTCATAAGACCAAAATTGAAATTTCCTTTCATTGGACCTTAGTTATCAAAGTCAATAT